TTCTGCAGATGCAATGGAGGCGGCGAAGAACGCCCTCTTCGCCGTCGCCATTGCCACTTGGTAGGCTCGACGTTGAGGTTATATTATGAAGTATTTTGTCTTTGTTGGTTGAAGGAATGGATAACATTGGAGAATTCACATATTTTAGACTTAGAAGGCCATGATAATATTTTTGGTTGGCAAGATTATTTATGGTATGAAAAGGTGGAAGTACATAAAGGATTTCCAAATCATATAATTAGGGAAAAGATGTATAATGGGATAAATACAAAAATCTACTCGAGGCAAAAACATCACTTTGGCTCTCACTGTTGGAAGCTATAGCGGTAAAGAAAAGGAATATAATAGAAGGGTGGACAACATAGAAATTTATTAAAACAAGAGGGAGGGGAGTATCAATTGAAAGAATCAAAGGAACTATCAAGAAAATTAACAACATGGATACAATATCATCATTTGAATGAAGTATTTAAGAAAGATAGGATACGAGGGTTTGGGGAACAAATATCACAACCGGAGAGAGATTTGTTGGTATGCAAAAGTGCTCGGTCCCAGCTCCTGCCAACCCTAGCAGTTCGAAAGCACGTGAAAGTGCAAGTAGATAAATAGGTATCGCTCCGGTGGGAAGGTAAACGGCATTTCCGTGCGCTGCTCTGGTTCGCCAGAAGCGGCTTAGTCCTGCTGGCCACATGACCCGGAAGCTGTACACCTGCTCCCTCGGCCAGTAAAGTGAGATTAGCGGCGCAACCCCAGAGTCGGCCATGACTGGACCTAATGGTCAGGGGTTCGTTTACCTTTAAAAGTGCTGTCTAAAATGTGTAAGATATTATTGGAATGGGAGACAAAGGATAAGCAAGTAAAATCCTCAATGATACACTGGGCAATAGATATTGGTTATAATAGAGATATGGAAGCATGGGAACAATAGTGGAATATGGATATAAAATTTACAGCGTGCTATGGTTTAAGAGAAAATTATATGAAAATGTTTTATCGATGGTACCTAACACTGAGTAAATTGGCAAAAATGTATAAATCAAAATCAAATAAGTGTTGGAAATGTAAAGAGAAAGAAAGTTCTTTTTATCATATGTGGTAGTCTTGTAGTATAAGGTTAAAGCTTACTGGGAAATTATATATAATGAATCAAAAAAGCTGTTTAAAATAATGTTTGTAAAAAAACCCAGAAGCCTTCCTGTTGGGAATTATAGGGACAGAACTACCCAAACTGTATAGAAATTTATTCATGTATGCAACTACAGTGGCAAGAATGTTACTTGCCCCAAAATGGAAAGAAGTAGTAGTCCCAGAGAAAGAAGAATGGATATAAAAACTTATGGAATATGCAGAAATGGCAAAACTTACTGGAAATATAAGAAATCAGGATAACAAACATTTTATAAAAGAATGGAAATGGTTTATTGAATATTTACAAATAAACTGTAAACAGATAAGAACATTGGCAGGATTATTGTAATAACCTGCAGTTTTAGAAGAGTATATATTTAAAGTAGATGAACAAATGAGTAAATTAAGTAATGAGTAATTTGGAATATGCAGAGAATGTAAAAAATAATTTTAAGGAACTGCAGAAAGAGGGGGAAGGAAGCCAAGTTTTGAAAGATTAAAATGATTGAAATGTATAAAACTGAAAATCATATATGCATTTTGTTACATTTTTGGTGCATATTCTTTATCAAGGTAAACAAAGGCTTAACAGGGCAACTGAATGTGGTCAGTATACTGCCATATATTTCTGACTATATACACTGTGGGAAAGGCAGTTGGGAAGAGTAATGACCTCTGGAAATGCAGGCCTATCTTCTTCATCCTCTGGACAGATTTGTCCTGCCTCTTTTCACACAAGAGTAATGCCAAGCTCTTTTGACTATTGCTGCCTGTGACATTTCTCTGAGGGGAAGTTATTCCTTTAGAAATCTGGCACATTGATCTCATGGGCTGTCTTTCCTCCATAGATGATGCTCTCCCAGCGCCTTTCATCTTAGCTGGACATGACCTCAGCTATTATGTAGGAAAGCTACTTGAAAAATACAAAAACCACGGGAGGCACGAGCGAAGCAGAGAAGCATAATTATAAAGATCAACAAGTATAGCTTCTCTTCATTCAAAGCAGTTCAATTACTAACTTCCGCAGTAGTAATGCTTACAAAGTAAGCATTTGTTCTGTTATTCGCACTCCGTTTGATAAAACGGCAGGAAGCCTGGACATTCCGACTAGTACTTAATGGCAGCTTTTATTCATGGTGCGGAAGCGAGAACTTGTTTCACTAATTAATTTGCTTCACATAAAGCGGGGCATCAGCTAATGTGGTGTCCTCCATTTTGGGCTACAAAGCCCTTCAGTTGGAGCCAGCATTGCCAACAGTCAGGGGTGCTGGGAGTTGTAGTCCAGAACATCTAGAGGCTTCCCATAATAAATTCAACAATAATTAACAAGATGCTTACTATGACATCCTATACATGTCCACACAGAAATAAGTCCCACTGGGACTTACTCCCACATAATTGTCTTTAGGACTGCCACCTCAATGAAGTACCAATTATGAAACAATTACTTGTAGGAATTCCTGCTGTACAATGTTAGAAAGTAAGCCTTCTTTACCTTCTCCTAGGCCAGACTGGATCCTCATCCAGCACCACTACATTCCTTAAAGGCTCAACATCACTCTAATGATATTAATTCAAGAGCTGTTGATCCTGCTGGACCAGCATCTTAAGAGACCAAAGTATTAGGAATTCTGGGATACAAAGATCCTCAGCGACGTGGATCAATGAGGCACTTGATTGGGAGGACTCACAGAAGGCGTTTTATCATTCGGCAAACGCAAACACCCCCTTGACCTTTTGACGCAGCTGCTGTTGCTGCCAGTTGCTTGTGAGATCCTGAGATCCACATTCCTGCTCTCCCTTTCTGTCAACCTGTAACTGGACCTTGACATCCCACTGATCATGTTGATGCTGCTAACATCACTGCCTCTCCTCTGCTCAGCAAAGGGCCATTGTGACCGTATCACTAGAGCAAAAGTCAAGAGGTTTCGCAGGTGATGCCACTATGGATTATACTTCAGCTCTAAGCAGAGGAAAGATGAAAGGTTCTTAATCTCAGGGTCGAGTGTTCAAGCCCCATGTTGGGCAAAGACTGGACTGGACTAGATGACCATTGTGGTCCCCTCCAACCCTACAATTCTATGATTCAAGGCAGCAGCTCCAACTTGAGGAAGGATTATGCTGCACAACAGTAACATTTTAAGAACTAATAACATCCAGCAAAAACAGACCCTTCTGTCCTCCCAGAAATGAAGAGAGGCATGAAGGCTATAGATTTCCTTTGATATATATATTTTAAATGTTTTGCTTGTATCTATAGAGCTTCCATAAGAATAATAATATGAGACTATACACAGACAATTTTCAAAAAGAATGGAAATCCTCCTTATTTTCTAAATGGGAAAAATGTTTCAATAAGATTTCTTTAACATGGCTTTCATACAATACAATGTATTGTTTTATTTGTAACAAAAGGGGTTGCTTTGTATTATTATATTCATTGTTTTAAAAGCAATCTATCCTACTTATATAACATGCATTTATTTATTACAGATTATTGAATTTCCCTTTGCTATTTATAATGAGGATGAATGTCTCAAAATGAATCCTTTTCTTCCTACATGTAACATGAAGGGAAACCTTCACCTTCCACTGAGTGGATCCAGATGCTGTAAATGTTGCTGTTATTATTTATTTATTTATTTATTTATTTATTCATTCTTGCCTTTTTCTCTGGCTGGATCTACACAGATATAAAAAATGCTATGAAAATGCTATTTTAAAAAATGCTATAAAAATAAATATGCAATTTTCCATTGGGCTCGACAGTGCCACCTGGTGTCACATTTTTATAATGCACTTATATTGATAAGATGCAAAGAGCCGCTAATAACATAGAATACCTATTATTAAAATACAATTAAATATTTATAGAATTAAAACTATCAATCACACCAAACAAATGATTACAATAAAAACAGCATGGCACCAGCCCTTTAATTAAAAGCAGTCAGTTCCTCAAAGCCCGTTGGAGCAAGAACGTCTTCACCTGCCAGCAGAATGGACAAGGGAAGGCGTTCCAGAGTCTGGGAGTAGCCACCACCAAGAAGGCCCTCTCCTGCGTCTCCACCAAGTATGCTTGTGAGGGTGGCAGAATTGCCTCCCCCAAGGATCTCAAACCTGGGCAGGTTTGTTTGAGGGCATATGGTCTTCCTAAGCCCTGTAGGAAAGGCCTACTGTTAAGGAAAGGCCTTCTGATTTAACAATACAGCAGGGCCCCCAATCAAAAACTGCATTCGAAGGCTGCTTGTTGTAAGGTTTGCCATGCTAGGAAATGCACAGAAGGGAGGCATGCACCATGGTGACTGCAGAAAACAGTTGGATGCATACATGCACCCAGTAAGAAACAGAAAGTAATGCTATAGGATGCGGGAGTGGGGGCTAGTCTGCGCGTCATCTGTGGCACCCACCCAGGCCTTGGGTTTTATACCTGTAAGAAGGGTCTTGAAAACATGTTTTTGGTGTGAGGAATTCAAAACTATTACAATACTTTTGATTCAACAACATCTAGCTTGGTAAATCTACATTTGATTAAAAAGCACATAAACGTCTCAGAAAATAAAAGAATTTTAATGTTACTTTCTGAATATGTCAGGTAATGCTAAATATTAATAATAGTAATAATATTATTAATAATAAGTTGACATAATATTAATATATACTATAACTGCAAGTACTTGGCAATCATTTTTAATGATTTCTATGCAATTTGACACGCATATTACTTACTAAGTAAAACGAAGTTATATTAATTTAACCAAAATATCTTTTGAATTCCCATCATGTTACAACTTTTTAGTACTCCATATTTTTGGAATTTGAAAGTTTAAAAATTCAACATGCCCTAATGGGACAGCCTTGTCTATTCTCACCTGGAGCCAGAAGCTGGGAAGACACAGAGGCCTGACTTGCTCTCAGTGATGAGTCCCAACTACAGTTTGCCCGCCTTGCTGCTAGAACGCTAATGGATGATGCAAACTGTTGGAGTGTTGAAGCTGTGAGCCCTTCCATCATCTCACATTCCACCTGTATACATGTGTAAATAAAACCACGAATCACAAAAAACATAGTATTCTTTAGTGATCTTCAATCCTATGTAGGAAGTCTCTCACCACCTGGAGGCGTGGGTGTTTGCAACAGCTTTCTGTCAAAGAGCTGATTAGATTCATTGCTTGGGAGGGGATTTTGATGGTATAATTCATGTCACCAACCTCTTTGGACCCGTGGGAACACTGGCAAGCCAGAGATACTGTTGTGGGAACCACAAGTGCCCACAACCAAGCACACACTGCAACCTATTCTATTGGCTACAGTAAATGGCTAAACCTAATAAATGGCAATTTATTTGGCTTAGGAAACTGCCAGATATGGCAACTAAGGCTTTAATTAAAAAGACAAGAGAAGGCGCGAGCCATAACCGGAGAGCGCTGACTTCCTTCCTTGAAATTTGGATTGAAAAAAGAACCCGTGAGTAATTTGGAACTGAGCTTTAAAAACTTTTACCTTTTGAATTTGAGACGACCGGGGGGTGTGCCAAAAGGAAGTCCCCATCCCCCCCCCTTGCAGACGATCCAGAGCAACGATATAAGAGCTAAGCTGGAGTGCCCACCCTGTAAAGGGTGAGTTTTAAAAAAGACAGTAACTTCCAAGATTTGGAAAAGCAAATTTAAGCAGGAGAGTGGAGTGTTGGAAGAGTTTTTGTTTTGTGGTAAACAACCCTCCCTCCCGAGCCCGGGAGCGATCTGCTTTGGAGCCTGTATAGAGGAGCAGAATTTGACAGCTGTCAAAGCTGTCAAATGGACTGTTAATACTGAAAAAATTGCTACTTAAGACCTCTCCGGATAAAAAGGAGTTACAATTGAACTAAAATTTTGGGAAACAAAGAAACAATAATAGGACAGAGGATTGTTGGAGAAAAGACCATCCAGTAACCAGATTCCCTCTAGGGGGAATTCTGTGGAATTACAATGGCTGTGGGTGGAAAGATACTGAGAGAAATCGAAAGGATGTTTTCACTGGTGGGAACCTTACAGGAGCAGACTACAGCTATGAGTAAACAATTGACGGCCTTGGATTTGGAAACAAGTAGCTCTGCTGAATGTAATGAGGACTTGAATGAGAAAGAACCCACAGCTGAATTTGAAATAATAAACAAAGAAGAGGAGAAGACAAAACAAGAAAGAGAACAAGTTATGTGGGAAAATACTAACCAGAAGCCGATATTTGGAGAATACAAACAAGGAGACCATTGGATGGAATCTATTCTAAGCCTACGAAAGATACAGAAGATGAAAGTGGAGGCCCTGGGAGTTTATGGAACTCAGGAACTCGAAATAAAGAAGTACAATTGGGGCCTCCACATAGACTTTGATTTTGACCATCACCAAGACTCAGGCCTTGTGGAAATTCCTCAGCAGTTGCTTATAAATATGGGAAGAGACTATGGACTGATTGGATTGAATGTTAATGAAATCTTTCGAGACTCGATGACTGACAAAGAGGACTACCAACAAAACCGGCGGAGAGGGACTGAAATAGATTTGAGAGCCTCGGATGTGCGGAATCCAGGCTAAAAACTGTTATTTTGGACATGTCTTGGGAAAGGACGCAAAGCGGGGATGGGAGGGAGGGAAGCATAAACTTAAATAACACTCAAGACCAGGGGTTTAGTAATAAGGAAATTACTCAAGAAAAATGAGAAATCGAGGGAAGAGAATTGGGGTCCAACTTAGGGAAAACTTATTTTTTGTCTCTATAAAAGGACTAATATTAAGAAGGAAGAAATGCTAACTTGCTGACATAAACTTGGGAACAGGGATGCAAGGGAGGGGGTGGGGGGAAGTCAAGGACTAGGGTTAGAAAATAAGACTTTTTGGAACTATTCATGTTTGCTGTTGTTTTTTTTATGTTTGTTTTGGTGTTATGTGTTTTGTTTTTGTCTATATAAAATGTGAAAACCCAATAAAATTATTATAAAAAAAAAAAAAGAGAGAAGGAGGGATCGTCGTCACAGCCAAGGGGTGAGGCTGGGTTGGGCCAGGCGTGCAGGGAGGCAGCGGGCGCAGGTGCCCTCCTAGCCCAGGCAGGTCAGGCCCATGGGAGGCGAGGGGCCTGCAGAGGATTGGAGCTGGGGGGGCAGAAGGGAATGGGCGAGGCCTGGCTTGGAGTGGGGAGCTGGGAACGCAGCACCGAAAAAAGTGCAGAAAAAAAATCACGAGGATCAAATAATGAAAGCTGTTACACCGAATCAGAAACAGCCATTGCTGCAGCCAACTGAAAAACAGACCAATCACCGAACAGAATCACCAGCTACCAGCAAAAGGAAAAAAAAGTTCCGGGTTTAAGCAGTGGATACACGCAGTAGCGTGGGGAGGAGCGGGAGCACAAATGGAAAAAACAATAAAACAACAGCGCAGATGGGCCGATGGCATGTGTGCCAGCAGTGAGGGCTCCACATACCCTCTCTGGCACGCGTGCCATAGGTTCACCACCGCTGTAATATTGCATCCTATTATCAGGCTGTTAAACCAGCCTCATTAAATGACTGGCTTCTCTCTGAGGAAACTGTTGAAAACAAAAGAATAAATTAATAAAAGGTTTAATATGGTACCATGAAAAAAATGCTTTATAAACTTAAGTACAATTCTGTTAGCAAGGGCGTAGCCAGGATTTATTTTGGGGGGGGCAGGCTTTATGTTGAGGGTGCAGAACCAAGTTATCTGTGATGCAAATGGTCAGTTAAGTATTTTTATTTACTTAACTTGATTGGCGGGCAGCTCCCCCCCCCCCCGCTGCCCCCCCAGCTGTGCCCATGTCTCCTAGTCTATTTCTCTCTAGCAGTCAAGATCAAGTCTGTGTCCTGGCTTATGACTATGCACATCTTTTTAAACAATGAACCATCACATTTCAGGTGTGACAAGCGATGTATCAATATGGATATATCACAATCTACATAGTCCTGAAAATTTAGTAAACGGTCAAAAACATTCCAGTTTATGAAGAGAGGAGAAGGAGAGGTGTAATACCTTCGTGCTTCCAGTACTTTCAAGCAAGAAATACCCCATTATCTGTGTGTAGAAAATATTATCAAATGAGGGAGAAAAGTAACTGAGTTCAAATCCCCTGTGAAAAGATTTTTTTATATATTCTTGTTATTAGATCTGAGAGTGTCGCTGAGGATGTTGTAACCTTATGAAAAAGTGGGCGAAGGATTTGGGACGTCACATGAAGAAGTGGAATTGGATCAGTATGTGTTTTTGTGATAACATTCATTGAGTACCAGTGATATTTTTCTAGGGGGGAAAGTGCCAGAACTCACCACGAATCCTCCCTTGTTCTCTTATTATGGCAATGACACCCACCTGGGAGGTGCCAGAACTGAGTTCCAGTGAGTTCCGGCTGAAAAAAGGCCCTGCAGAGTCCTGTTCCATTTTGTGTGTGCAGCCCATGGCAGCCATGCTGTGCTGGCACCCAGGACACTTTTGTCAAGATGGGAGGACAAGCACCTCTTTTTTTTTACCAAAAGAAAGTACAGGATCGTGTACTGAGGAACATATTGCTTAAAACTAATATTAGCTGGTCTGATTTAACAACAAAAACTCAATCAATACTCTCCAAGTTAAGTCAGATTTATCATTCTGTAAATATTTGGCGTTTGCTGTCCAATAATGCAACCTTTTCAAACCAAAATTCTGCTTATTTTAAATACTGTAAAGCAGCCATAAGCTGTAACCTTTATGATAACCTAGCTCTTACTGCAAACCCGTCTTTAATACTTGACTTGCTATTTTTGTGAAATGCATGTTTAGACAACCAAGCATACATCTCACTCATATGGAAAAAACGTCAGCATAATTTGTTATACCAAAGCCAATTTATTCTAAATGGTAAATGCCCTATGGAGAAGAAACCTATCCTGTTTTAATATACTTGTGAAGGCAGGACACAGCTCCAGCAGCCTCCATGCTGAAAATAAATGACCATCATGGAGAAATGCAACAAATAAGGACAGAATGCACTTTGCAGGTAGTCACAAATGCTATTGTTTCAGAGTGTGGTTCTTTATGGTTTTAATTAAAGTAACACCACTGGGATTTTTAAAAGGCTGCAGATTAGGTTTCTGGATTCAAACTGAGTTGAGGAAATAGGTAGGAACCTGAGCATATCCTTTGCTGGGTAGACCAGACAACTGGACTAAGAGCTCCCTGTTCTAGGATATAAAGTTTGTGAACATGTTATCATTATTTTGTGTGATCTCAGAAGCTAAACAGGGTCAGGCCTTGTTAGTACTTGAATGGGAGATGGTCTGGGAAAACTGGGTGCCATAGGCTTTGTTGAGATTACTGCCTTGCAGAGGGTTGGGCTAGGTGACCCATGGAATCCCTTCCAATTCTACGATTCGAAGAAGAAGAAGAAGAAGAAGAAGAAGAAGAAGAAGAAGAAGAAGAAGAGTTTGGATTTGATATCCCGCCTTTCACTCCCTTTAAGGAGTCTCAAAGCGGCTAACAATCTCCTTTCCCTTCCTCCCCCACAACAAACACTCTGTGAGGTGAGTGGGGCTGAGAGACTTCAAAGAAGTGTGACTGGCCCAAGGTCACCCAGCAGCTGCATGTGGAGGAGCGGAGACTCGAACCCGGTTCCCCTGATTACGAGACTACCGCTCTTAACCACTACACCACACTGGCTCTCATTCTAAGATTCTATGATTATTATTTCTTAAACTCCTAAAAACCCAGGTGCTTCATAAATCATAATTTAATCCAATAGATCCTGTCAGTAGGTTCACAACCTAAAAAAACGAACTGATACAAGAGTAAGGATAGAGAAGAGGGAAAGTGGAGGATGTGCAGCACACATAACAAGACAGCCATTAAATTCCCAGCTGTTTTTTCCCCTAATTGTAGCAAGAAACTTGAAAGTAGATGTTCCATAATGTTAGTATGGTGCAGGAGCGCCAGCTACAGGAGGCTGAGTCCTTTCTGACCCCCCTATATTTTTGAGGTCGGGACCAGGGACCCCCAATGTTC